AAATGAATTTTTTTTCTTTTTTAACTAACAAATTTGTAAATTTTTTTTTTTAATTTTGGGTTCAAAATCCTCAACAAGTGTTTTGGGTCCTAAGCGGTTGGTTCTTTTGCTTGTACCATGGACCGGCCCTGTTGATTTGATCTACAATTTGAGATCTGAAACTGTAACCACAAATCGCAGTCTAGTTAGTTATTCATTTTGGTAAACGAGCAATTTTTTTTGTGATCACGCAATTGATTACAATAAACGTTAAATATTTAGATCATGTTACTAAAATGAAAATTTAAAATTTCAGTCGCTGCAATCTACGAATGATCACTGTAACTGATTGCAAAATAACCCTTAATATTTGAAATAAACAAAAACAACTAGTATTTGATCGCAGTAGTAGATCGCATATTCCAACGTTAGACAAACGAACATACATGTTATCGTTGTGCCATTAATTTGATCCAAAATCAGATAATGCATGATAGCGATTAAAAAACCTTACTGTCATGTATACTACAGTAAATTTCCACTTACGATGAATGTGAGTGGATGTGTAGATATAATTTTCCACATGCATATACTAGTAGAGTAGGTGGTGAAACAAGGGTAGGACCAGTGGCATGATCATGTATACTCTCAGAGAGCATGGAAAAATCAAACATATATAGGTGGTCAATATAGAGTTGGCCGTGTGAAAATCCTAGGGGATGCCATGTTCGATGCCAATCTCCCCCTCTCTCAGAAGCTATATAGAAGAAAAATCAAACTCAACAAGATAAAATAAAGTTTTGTAATAATATCCGTTGTGGAATTTTAGTTCCACTTTTGTTCTCAATTATTGTCCTCATACAAGAATGAAGAAGAAAAATGGCGATTGAAAAGACTATATGCCCACACCATATTTCCACATTCACACCATCTCAGGTCATTGGTGATGTATTTTAAATTAACATGTGAGGTAAATAACGCCAAAACGTAATTCTGCTCAATGCTCATTATGCGATTCTTTTGTTTGTAGTCATACCTTCATATTCATCCGGTCTACCTGTCAATTTCGCTATATAGTATTAATCTTTTGTGAATTTGTTTTACTTTTCCAAAAATATATATTAAGAATCACTAAATTTATGTGTTAATAACTTAATATGGGTGTACAAATAGTCAAGACTAGTTGAAAAACTTATCCAAACTTTTTTTTGTTGACAAAAACCTTATCCAAACTTTATCAATATTAAGTAATATTAAGTAAAATTGATTAATTTACTCTCTTTACTTAATGGACAAAAGTCGTCGACCTTTCCACGGAGAATCCAATCCAAAAACGATACTCCAAAAAGAGGAGGTGAGCAAGGCACTCATTTCGAGTGGTATTGAAGTTGCAGATTATAAGAGCGAATAGTATTTGTGAATTATGAGGCATCTACCTACAAATGGATAAGTTAACTGTTATTTTTATCATTATCTGCTACGAAAACTATTGGAAATGAACATTCGCTTTTATGATGTGAAACAACAAAAGTTCGTACGAAACTACACGAACTTTTTGGATCATTAATATGGTGATTGTAAGGATGATCTACAGAGAAGTGTGGAATGCGTCATGGCAAGAAAGAATAAGAATCAATTATTTAAGAACATTTTCGATATAAAACTTTATTTTTTTCTCAAAAATGAAATAAAAGAAAATATAAAATAAAAATGCTCTAATACTACTCCATTTATCACTCTATAATGGAGTGATAAATAGAATGATGAACAAATAAAAATAGATTATTCTATTTATGGAATGAATTCTACTATAAAATGAGAAATATATTAAGATTGAAGTATTTTCTATTTCATATTTTCTTATACTTTGTTTTAGATTGAAAATACCCTAATATATTGTCAAATTGGGTTATCTAATTCTAACCTCTAAGCTTCTTAGCTTTTTGGCTCTATCTTTCTTTTTCTCCTGTTCTTTTGTCAAGGTAAACTCTAGATTTAACTTTTTGTAAAATCTGAACTTCAGTAATATGATATTAGCATTCTTTGCAGGAAAAGAAGAAACTAACACGAACTTAAATGAAGATCATTCATGGACCGTTTTCCCTCGTTTGTGTTGGACTTGGAAGTAGTTGGTATACTCACTTTTCCTTGTCCGTCCTCGAAAATAACAGCAATTGCAATTTGTTTTACTAAATAAGAGCATAGGGGACAAAGTGATCGTATATAGTTTTCATTAATTTAAACTTAAGGAATAACACATATTTTAAAACATAAACTATTTCTAAAACTAAATGCATTTTATAACATAAACTATTTCTAATGGTAACATAGGGAACGAAGGAGAATAATCAAGGGGATAATCATTTCTTTAACTGGTGTAAACTTTGAAGAAATAGTTTTAAAATAACTTTGAAGAAGTGGCTTTAACTGGTGACTACATGGTCTAAATAGTAACATAGGGAACGAAGGAGAATAATCAATTCCTACTTATTCCTTAAAAAATACACCAATCATAATGAATATTTCATGTGTATGATTCATTGTCATTCCTTGAATTCTAAGGAATTATAGAACAAAAACATTCCTTATCAAAATTGATATGAAACCAAAGTAACAAATATTTCTTTTCATTCGTTTTATTTTGTTCCTACTTATTATTTTCCTACTCATTCCTATTTATATTTTAATGGTCACCAGTTAAAGCCTATGTGTTCATATAAAAAGTTTACACCTAAAAATGAAATAACACATATTTTAAAACATAAACTATTTCTAAAACTAAATGTATTTTGAAACAGAAAACAATGCTTCACTGTAAATGTAGCGCCACTGCTGTCTATGGCTATGGCTAATTAATGTTCCATGCCCCTCATTTAGCTAAAAAAAAAATGTTCCAGGTCCGTCATTTACAAAACTCCGTCATTTAGTATGTGGATCCATCTTGTATGACAATTAAAAAAATTGTGAAGAGTTTAATTTCTTATAGTGTCTGGCTCCATTCCAAAGGGTACCCATACAAAAATCTTCAAGGTATGCCTAAGAAACCTTTAGATTTTAGACCATACCATTTGCAAGCACACGATTTTTAAAAGGCAGAGTACCATCTTAATGTCCTGAGTATCAAACATGTGACCTCGAATAGTAATGGATGAGAAAGTAAATTAAAACCACTAGGCCATCAGCTGCTTCTCAAAATTAAATAGTGATTAAAAAGTCAGTAAATAAAATTTTCAAACCACGAACAAAATGAATGAACTGATTGATGAATTATTTTATCTTTGTTTTGATCTCTCACATATGATATTGCGAATTATTTTCCGATAGATCATATATCGTTTAATTATTCCTATTCATTCACATTTAATTCTATAATTATTTTTGGATGTATACTGAAATTAGTGCATTTTATGGATATAGACAGACAAATTAGTCTTAAAAACTTGTTATATTATAAATTGAGATGTTACATTAAAATTCAAACTGATGTAAATATTAAAAGAGAAGGAGGAAAACTGACGGTCACGATTAGCGTGGAGACTAGTTTCTACAACGTCATAGTAAATCACACAAACATTATCTATCAAAAATATGCATAAACCAAAAATCTATCGTTTCTCATCTTTCATTTGAAATCAAGTAAAATATGTGTTTCAAGGAATCCGAGAGACGACTGTTTTTAGTAGTCGCATGCGTGAACTCCACTAAACTTATGTGGTTCTATCGACTCCTCCTAATTATATCCTTCTATTTTTTTAATAAAAAATGTATAACAACAAAAGTCTCCGCACATGTTGAAGAACCATAATTGTGAAATACATGTTGTCACAACCCAAAACCCTAGTTGACAAATTATTTGTGTATTCTTTCCTTCTTTTTTCTCTGTTGTCTCTTTCCAACGATTTTGCGGTTTTATAAGAATATCAAGCTTAAAAATATACAAATTATGATGAACTATATTATCACAACCAGAAAACCTAGTTGATAACACTTTTTTTGACTGAGAACCGAGTTGACAACTTAATATGCTTATTTTTCCCTTCTTTTTTTTTTCTCTATGATCTCATTCCATAGATTTTGAGTTTTTATGGAATCGCATGTCTGAAAAAGAAGAAGAAGTAATTTTCTTTTATCGAAGTGTGCATTTTTAATGCATTTATTCAACTGTAAAACGGATGTTAAGTTTTAAACTGGTATAGTGAATTTTCACATTTGCAAAGTAAAAAAAATGGGTTCCGAAATATCCAATGGAAGCATACTACGATAAAGGGATACAATTTTTGATCGGCTCCCATTTTAATTTGTTCATTTCCATAAAATAAGAAAACGACACAGTCGTCTAATAAGTACATATCTGCCCATCAGATTCTTCCAAGAGACCCAAAGCCAAACCCAAACAAGACTACTTACATTAATGTGAACATGTCTTGTGGCTGTTCGCTTACGGCCATTCACCAAAAATCCCTAAATATTTGTCTCCTCTGTGTCGAAATTGAAAGCTCAATCGTCATCATTTTCAAGAAAACATTACCTAAATTCATATCTTCCGTTTCACTCCCTCATCTACACGTGCTTTTGTGTTCATTCTGAGTTTTTTCCACCGTATATCTTTGTGTGTTAAATTCAGTTGTATATCTTTTAAAACTAAAAAAAAAAAACAAGATTATCAAAGTTCACTATATTAGTTAGCTGAAAAAATATCAAAGAAAATAAACTAGGGAGAGGAAAACTACTACTTGAAAGGAAAAACGTACTTAGACAAATATATACTAGATACATCTGCTTGTGAAATGAATGTATTGGAGAAGTGTAACTCATCATATTGATAAAAATCAATGGGCCTTTATAAGCTGTGGATAGCATTAAGCCCACCGTTAAAACGGGATACGTAAAAAGCCCATATAGCATCGACCCCTTCTTAGAATGAAATGGTTTAATATTTAACCGAGTTTCTGAGGTAAGTATGCGGTTAAAATTGGAGTAAAACGATGTCAACTAAACAACTGTCGAGTCATCGTCCCCTGGTCACGCGGGAAAAAAACTCGCTTGTGGCGGCGCGTGTCGCAGTAAAACTTAGCTATTAATAATAAATTGGCCGCGACTCTGAGCTTCCGAGTCTTCGCATTAAGTAAGCGACTCATCGCCACGTAGGCTTTCTTCTTCGTCTTCGAGAATCTCTCAAGGGTAAGCTTCCGGTCTCCAGATCTCAAATCTCTCTCTCTCTCTCTCTAACATGCAATTTGAATTGAATTCTTATGGATCTTTCCATAAAGATCACAAATTTTCTCACCAGTTGAGATGGGTTTTAGTGGAATGTTGTTGGTATATCGAGGAGGTTGAATTTGATGTTTAGGGTTTTGGTGTTGTATCTCAAATGGTAGACCTTTTGATTCAGGCTAAGTTTTAGTTCTCACTTTGGCCTCCTTTTGGTGCTGTGAATAGATTCTAGTCTTAGATGATGAGTCTTGTTCTGTAGATGTCATGTCCGAGTGATATGGTTTTGATAGCAACCAGTTATTAGTAGCTAGTTATGTCATAAGTTTCCATGAGCTCTTAGTTGATAAAGTAATGAGCTTTTTGTCTTTCTTTTCTTTATCTTACTTGCTTGTTGTGGTTATTGAAAATTCATCCTCGCCATGATGTTGTCATTGATGCCTGTGTCAGTGAGACAAGAGTGCTACTTGAAACGGGTCATATTTTGTGTATATAATAAGGATGCGATGGGTCTAGAGTAGTTTACTTGTTGTGGTTAGTGAAAACCATCCTCGAGAAGTGAAATTGCGATGATCTTATTATTGATGTTGTGTCAATTAGACAAGAGTCCTGGTTGAAGAAACGGGTCAGATTTTGTCTGTGTAGTAAATCTTGTTATATGGTTGAGTCTAGAGGAGTTTAGTTTACTGTCTCTGGTGAACGGCTAGCTTAGTTCTTGTTTCTTCTCTGTAAAAGCTACTTTGTAGTTCTTGTTCTATAAAATGATTTTTTCTGAATCAGTTTGGCTTTTGTCAAGATGCAGGAGTCCTAAAAAGATATTAACCCACACAGAAGAAGAATGAGCTTTGCGTGCCTCGTGTGTCACAGTGTAGAGAGCCCGTCCCACTCCTTTAGAAGCTACTCCGTGTCTAGCTCTGACAATGAAGGAAGATGCTCTGTGATTGCTAGCTGCCTCACTAGGAAATCACTCATTCAAGCTGCAAGATCAAACACTTTCCCTGCTTCATCCTCGAAGGTAACCCCGCAACCCAATATCCAGGCAGGTGATGTGATGATAACACTAGGAGCCTCGCCAAGGTTAGTGCGGAGCCGTGCAGGGAGAAGAGACTGGAACTTCAACGAAATCGAGGCAGAGATTTAAAAAATTAAGTCTGACTCTCTTCTCTTTAGACTAGTGTTAGTTTGTTAATCTCTAGCACAGCTCAATGTTCATCCTCAGGAGATCCTTACCAGTCTTCTGAGTTCTGTTCAAACGATTTATCACTTGTCAAATTTTGTACTCGTCTCACTACTTCTTTATAAACCAATAAATCTATAAAATTATCTTTTCATGTTTCCTACCGTTTAGTTTGGTCTATATATCATATGAGCCCGTGCTGATATGTTAACATGTCATTGTCAAGACCATCTGTTCGGATTTACGAAAAACTAATGTGAATGTTTCTTTCTTTAATTTAATTTTATATTGTTAAAAAGTAACCAAGATACTAAATTTAAATAAAGTGGATAATTAAGTCTTACCAAAATGGCCTATAATATAAAAGTTCCAGCATCCTTTTAAAATTGTGTATATGAAACAATACAGAAAGAGGTAACATACACTAATTTCTTAAGAGGATCAATAATGGTTAAAAGGTTATTATATTGTTCCTTTAAACCGGCTTAATAGGTGATGTGTGCTAAACGAAAAGGTTATTATATTGTTCCTTTAAACCGGCTTAATAGGTGATGTGTGCTAAACGAGATTGATAGTTGAAAACTAGTATGTTTTCATCTTATCATCTTATTTATTTTCCTTGATATAATTTTGGATAATGTTAAATTATCAAATTTTTAATTAGCATTGTTGTAAAACATATGATTAGCATCCTAGATACTTTTAATTTTAGCTAGTTTTTAATTTATATTTAACGGCTATTATTGATCAGTTGATAGTTGTTTTTTTGTATAAATCCGGATAAACAAAAATTAACCCTCTAATAAATCACAAAACATATGATTAGATTTACATGTTCGGTTAAACATAAAATTAGTTCATTAACAAATCAAAATATAAATGATTAAAATGTTTGTTTAGCTGGTTAAGATTGTACTTAACTTTTTTGTTATAGTTAGCCGGTAATATATACTAATTATCTCGACGTTGTTATAGTTAGAAGGTAATGTATACTAATTAATAATGTAATTTTTCAAATAACCGGTTAAGATTTTACTTGACTTTTTTTGGTTATATTTAGTCGATAATATACATTAATTATCGTAATATTGTAGTTTGAATTGTAACACTGAAAGCTTCTAAAGACTCTGAGAACCATTTGAAGAATTATTAAAGGATTTGAAATGTAGAATCTGAAAGTTTGTGACCGATTTGTGAAAGCTATTTGTACACATAGAAATTTTGGGGATAACTCGAAAATATTCAAAGGTTGATGCTTGTATTGTAAAATATAAGAAATTGCCATTGTTGCACGATCTCTTACGTAACCCAACAGAGGCGACGAGGATGAACACGACGGCGAGACTTGAATCCGAGCATGATGACATCGGCAGAAATTTGAAACTGAGTATGGAAATTGTGACAATAAATCTAAGAATAAATTTTATAATAAAAGGAACATGATCTCAAAACCAATGATTTTAGAGTTGATGTTGCAAAAATCATTGAAGGGTAGAATGTTTTACATCTTTATCAGATAATCACATGTTTGAACCAATGACGAGAGTTTGCATTGGCCAAAACTTTTCCAAGATTGTGCTCACAAGATCCTTCAAAAGTTCCGGTTTAGCCTCTCAAGTGAGTATAAAGCTCGAACCAGCTGTCACCTCACTTTTAACTCTTCAGTAGTTCTGGAGAACTGAGATATATCGTCCGGGTTTAGCCTCTCAAGTGAGTATAAAGCTCGAACCAGCTGTCACCTCACTGAGATATATCGTCCGACAAAGGTGTGAAATCAAAACGTGGTGTGAACGGAACCCCACTGAAACTATTAGATATTTTTGCTTTGATGATTAACTAAGCTGTTATTTACTAAATGATACTTCCTCTCTGTACAAAAATTGAAAAACTTATTTTCTTTAGAAAAAAATTGTAAAAGTATAATTTTAAAATTATTCAACCAATTATAAATATAAGGTAAAATCTAATTGATTAGACAATTTTTAGTAAAGTTAACATAAATATATCAAAACACCATACATTTTGAAACAACAAAAACCTTTTAAAACATTATATACAGTGAAACCTCTATAAATCAATAATGTTGGGATTACACTAAAATTTTATTTATTTTTATTAATTTAGAGAGATATTAATTTATCGATATACTAATTGAACCAAAAATTCAATTTGGAACTATAAAATTATATTATTTTATAGAGATATTTAGTGTATATTAATTTTTCAAGTATTAATTTATAGAAGTTATACTGTATTATTAAATGGAAGGGGTTATTGTTTATCAGCTCTAGCAGAATAACACTTTATGATGTTGCAAAAATAACTGAAAAGAAGAAATGTTGCAAAATTAATTGAAAAGTAGAAATGTTCGTCCTCATCTAATCAAATAATCACACATGTCCAAAACAATAACAAGAGGTAATAAATAACACTATGTTTGCCTATTCCATTTTGTTTTGAAACTCAGATGTGTCATAGACACGAGCAGTGTGATCAGCAGAGACAGACACAATGAAGTCTCCGTTGGTGGAGACTGAGATGGAATGGACCGCATCTTGGTGGCCATGGTAGGTGTGGACGCAATTTCCTAATAAGCTGTCCCAAATGCTCACTGTACCATCAGTACAGCCCGTGGCTAAGTACTTGGAGCTTCCTATCCACGTAACACATGTCACACCGTCCTGTAACAAAAAGAAGGTTTTGTTGTTTTACATTACAATCTCTGTATAGCATTATATCTCATAAGAGAAAACTACACGAGGTTTATATACCGCGTGTTCGCAGATGAACCTAGGAGTTGAATACTGCAGATCCCAGATTACAAGCTTCTTGTCCATTCCACCTGTTGCAGCCATAGGGATAGATGCGGAGCTTGGTGAAAACTTCACGCATTCAACTGACTCTGTATGAGAAGTCAGAGAGCTCACAACCTGTTTGGTATGATTGTGCACAAGTTAGAAGCACACAGAACATAAGCAAGTAAATGAAGTAATGAAACAAACCTTTCCAGTGACTATATTGACAATGTGAACAGAACCATCTTTAGAGCCACTGATAGCAAGAGTGGAGTTCGAGTTAATGTCCAAACATATCAACCCTTCCGTGTGATATGGATGACCTACATGAAAATCAAAGGTTAGGTTCCAAACTTAGAGTACACATTAGCAACAACATGTTAAACCAATAGGAGGGAGTGAGTTTAACTTGCCTTTAACCACATGAATGCTTTCACAAGTTTTAGGGTTCCATACTATCAAACTAGCATCATCAGAGCCAGTACAAATCAATTTCCCTACAGTATCCCAACACATACAAACAAGGATTACAGGACAATTCATCATATAGCATATTAAGCAGAAGCTTATATTGTTTACCGTCAGGAGTGAAGTCACCGCAAGTGACACTTTGATTGTGACCAGAAAACATATTGAGATAAGCCTCTTTATCAGCATTCCACATCCACATAGAACAATCTTCTGATCCAGCCAACACAATGTGCCCTCTAGGATGCCACTTCACCCACTGAAAATATCACACACCAAAAAGTCACAATTTGATACAACTAAATTGTTATCAAGCACAAGATTTTATACCTCGATGCCACCACCAGGACCGTCCAAAACACACTTCAAAGTCCCTGAAGATGCATCAAAGATCTGAACAACACCATCTAACCCTCCAGAGGCAACTAACTGTCCATCGTAGCTAAAAGCTAAAGAAGAAACAGAGTCTTTGTGACCAGGAAGCTCAGCAGCCCAGTCTCCATTGCCAATTTTCCAGAGAAAGGATTTGTCATCTCCACCTCCAGTTGCTACAAGGGTGGGGTCTAAAGGGCTACACGCCAATGAATAAACCTCACCTGTGTGTAAAGAATAAAGTTCTTACCAGAAAAACATTGAGAGTGATAATAGAATGATAAAAAGTTGTTACCTTTGTGACCGGTGAATGTGTGAATGGAGTCATCGTTTTCATCTGTAATAACAATACAAAAAAACATAAACTTATAAGTAATGTTGTAAAAACATAAGAGGTGTGTGATTAGTCATTACCAAACACTTCGTCATCATTGTCGTTTTCATTGTCGTCATCTTCATATGCGTCAGGAAGATCTGAATTTACAATACAAGAGTTATACAAAAGTAGATATGATTAAAAGGTTACGACTTTTAAGAAGAAGAAGAAGAGAATAACCTTCTCCGTCGACATCGATTTCGTGGAGGACATCGGATTCACCGAGGAAAACGTCTCCTTCGTATTCTTCTTCTTCCATTGTTGGATTATTCATGTCTGTGTTACTCATCTTCTCCTCTCAACAGAGTTTTACGGCCACCAGGATGAAGAAGAAGAAAGAGACGCGACGAGACCGACTACAAAAACCCTTGTTTTGCCTCTTTTTCTAACGAAAAGCTAAAACCCTCTTAACGAAACTACGTCGTTTCAGCTTCTGAGATTATAAAACCAAGTCAAGGAATATAAAACTCAAGTGACGTCATATTTATATTTATATTTTGGAAGTTAAAATTTTTAGATAAATATCATGAAAATTTAAGCCAATATTAAATATCTGTTATGGATAATTACATATGTGGATAACCATTATAAATTTATTTTTAAAAATATTTTAAATATATTTAGATCTTTAGATAAAATTTAATCTTCGGTTCATGGAATCTATACTATATTATTTACGAAGTGATTTTTCGCAACGGAGCTCTCACGTTAAAAGTTAAACTGGTTAATATCGTTTATACCCTTAATAAATAATTAAAAATTTCAATATATAATTAAACATAAATAAAAAACAAATTTCAATTGATTTTAGATTTATCTTTATCTAAAACTATTTTATATTGGGTTATAAATTCTTTATTAACCTTGAAAAATAATTATATTTGTTAATATATAATTAATTATAAATTAAAAACGAATTTCATTTTTTTGATAATTATCCTTATTTAAAAAGTTATATTATGTTTATCAACCTTGAAAAATAATTATATTTGTTAATATATAATTAATTCTAAATTAAAAACGAATTTTATGAATTTGATAATTATCCTTATCTAACTTTTTTATATTATGTTATAAAGTCTTTATTAACCTTCAAAAATAATTATATTTGTTAATATATATTTAATTATGAAAAAATCAATT